TGTGCCATGGTTTACTGGTTTTACATGGCCATAACAGGGATGAAAACTTCGATATAATAATAATAATTATTATTATTATTTATATATAATATATATATATATATATATATATATAATATTTAATTTCAGTTAACATTTATTTTACGTAACAAACTGTGTAAATAAATATAAAAACAAACCACTAAAAACTAGTTGAAAGCAGTTAAAGGGCATTTAGGCATTAGGCAACATTATTATGCACAGTATGAACAATTAATATTATTTCCGATATTTGCTAAACATTACATTTACCAGTGTTATTAAGAGATTTGCTAAAGATTACATTTACCAGTGTTATTAAGTTATACATTATATACTGTTTTACAGTATTTGATGACAGCAAAGAAAATCTAAATGTAAAAACAGGCAAAATGATTATGTACAATATCCAATATCAACCAATAAATAAATAATAAAAAAATATGAATTTAAATCATGCATACCACTTTTATCATATTTATTATAAACCCAAAGGTGTTTACATCCCTTGTCACAATGTACTTCTAGTGTACTGTGCAGCATTAACATTCTTCAAAATTTCTACTTTTGTGTTTAACCGAAGAAAGTCACACAGGTTCAGAAGGACATATGGTGTGTAAATGATAACAGAATTTATTTCTTTATTTTTTTTTGTGAATAAAACCTTTATAGCACAGCTTGAGCCTGTGTGCCAGCTGAAACAAGCATCTCTGCAATGTCAAACTCTGATCGCATCTGAGATCACAGGTTTATTTCCGCGAGTCTCTACGCTGCCTGGCCTGACTCAACAGCCTGTGTCTCTGTGTGTTTGCACATGCTGATAAGACACAGAGGCTTCAACACACACACACACACACTCACATAAACACATAAACAAACAATACCTGAGAGTATAAATACACATGCAGATAACTGTATGCTCACTCAAGAAGTAATCAGGGATATAAAGCACACACAGATGCACACGGTTAGCTGGTACGCTGATATCAGCTTCATTCAGAAGGATTTCCTTCTGCTCTCCCGCTGGCCGCGGCTAAATAAACACTCCGCTCATTAAGACTGTAGCAAGGGTGCGTTCAGTGTAAACTGTTACTGCCGGACACACTAGAGTACACAAACAAGCCTCGTCGAGGGGAGTCACCATGTGTGTATGTGTGTGTGTGTTTAGCCCAGAACAGAATAAGCTCAGGTCAGGGGTGAAATGAGAACCAGATGGAACAGATGATTGGTTTGCTGACTGGAGGCGTGCTGAGCAAAACATAATTCTGCAGGCATGTAAACACCAAACATTAACAAGCTACTGGGCTTGACTTTTCCAGTATTGCATATCCCTCTTTCTCACCTGTTGTTGTTGCAGAAGTTTTGACAGCTCATGCAGTCTGACGAGTCGTTTTGGGGCAGAGCCGTGTATATCCCTCCACCCTGCCACAACAAACACACAACAGATATAACACTAGCTGTATTTCACTTCTCATTTCTCACTCACATATGTGACCCTGGACCACAAAACCAGTCTTAAGTGTAAATTTTTCAAAATATTGAAAAATAAGCTTTCCATTGATGTATGGTTTTGTTAGGATAGGACACTATTTGGTCGAGATACAACTATTTGAATATCTGGAATCTGAGGGTTCAAAAAAAAAATCAAAATATTGAGAAAATCGCCTTTAAAGTTGTCCAAATGACGTTCTTAGCAATGCATATTACTAATCTAAACTTAAGTTTTGATATATTTACGGTAGGAAATTTACAAAATATCTTCATGGAACATGATCTTTACTTAATATCCTAATGATTTTTGGCATAAAAGAAAAATCTATCATTTTGACCCATACAATGTATTTTTGGCTATTGCTACAAATATACCCCAGCGACTTAAGACTGGTTTTGTGGTCCAGGGTCACCAGGGTCACTTAAATAGTATTGTTTCTTACTTTTACTATACCATATTGACATACCACACTAACTGTACAAACTGTACAAATACTATAATGTATCAGGCAACACTATACTATATTGCACTATAATACACTATAGCACAACATATTAGTGTACTGTACTGTATTATACTGTATGATAAAAATATTAGGGTTGTCCGTGGACACTACAGTTCAAAGGTTTTTGAGAGACGTCTCTTTTTCTCCCCAAGGCTGCATTTATTTGATCAGAAATACAGTAAAAACTGTATATTTTATAAAAATATATTTTTAAATGTTTTTTATATGTTTTCAAAGCTGAATTTTCAGCATCATTACTCCAGTCTTCAGTGTCACATGATCTTCAGAAATCAATCTTTTGTAACATTATTATAAATGTCTTCACTGTCACTTTTCATCAATTTAATGCATCCTTGATAAAAGTATTAATTACTTTTAATATATATATTTCTGTTATGACAACTCTCGGAGGGATTGGCTTGGTAATGTACATGACAATGTTAATGTATTTGGTCTTGGTGGAATAGATCTGCTACGCT